ACAGCATTCAGTCTTGATAACCTTCAGCAAAGTCCCATGAAGTCTTAATAGGTAATTGCACACAACTTAAAGGTGGGGAGAAGCTGCTGGTGCTTTGAGATGGACTGCAGGGTGTGTGACGTGCACGGGACACAGCCAGGCTGTCAGGGGGCTTTGTGAGCAAAAGGAATTTGGAGTTACGGTTGGGATCAGAATATCAATCAGTAATACAGGATCTTAGAACCTGCTGCACATCTTCAGAGATCCTGGAGCTGCTTGGCAGTTGTGTTTATCCCACCCTGTGTGAAGTATCACCTGAACAGCCATAAGGCAGGGCTTAGCACTGCAGGGGGAGTAGCTGGAAGTTAACCTGAGAAAAATCTATGCAAATTGAGCTTTAAAGCATCACAATTTAGTAAAAATGCTTCCTTAGGAGTGGCAGTGACCCATGCTGTGCCTGCTGTGTTCCCTGCAGGGCCCCCTGACGGTGTTCTCAGCCAAGCAGAGGTGGACGGCTCCACGTACCATCCGCATCCCCCAGGGAGCAGGAGAGCTCGGATTCCATCTCAAAGGGGGTTCACCAGTACAGATTTATTGTCTGGATCCACTTTGTCCTGCAGCAGTAAGTACTTTGGGGCAATACTGGCTGTTTCTGTGCAGACTCTGCCGTAGTCATACACCTAAAGTGTAACTTTAGCTTGCTCATGCTGGTGTGTGGAGTATTCACTGAGTTCTGCACATTAGAATTGTCAATACATATCATCTGAACACATTTTCAGTGTTATATATACTGTAGATTAAGTTAGAGTAACCCTGACATCACATGAAACTAGAGTTGCTTTCTTTCTCTGTTCACTCTTCATAGTTAAAAAGTCACAAATAATAAAAGCAAACGTTACTCCCTGTTTAATTCAAAGGGATAAATGCTTTAAAAAGTAGCAACAAGGATGAGGATCAGGAAGGTAGTGTGTGCCCAAGGAAAGAGGGGAAAGAACATTTTATTGGCTGGTAATATGTTGTTCTTTCAGGGGAAAATCCAAAGGGATAAAGCAGCATGCAGTGATGAGCACAGTTTAGCTCTAGAAAAGGCAGAAGCAACCACAGAAGGACAAATAAGAACAATGAAGTAAACAGGGCAGAAAATATCTCATGGGCAGTGATAGGGCAGCAAAAACCAGGGTTTATTTCCTTAAGGAGAAAAGCAAAAAGCATGTAAAAAGGGTCAACATTTGAGTATACCAGAATCACATTTATCAACGGTAACTCAATAGGTAGTTTGTGTTCTTGAAAAAGTTGCACAAGTCTGGCCAGACAATGGGTTTGTAGCATCTGAGAGGGCAGTACCTTTAGGGCAGATAATGTACCACGACAGAAACGTTTTATGCTTCACAAAATTGCAGATAATAACCTGTGCACAATGTTTTGACAGTCTATGGGCCTGAAAGAAGGTGACTACATTGTGTCAGTCGGCGGCGTGGATTGCAAGTGGCTCGGAGTGAACGAGGTGCTGGAAAAGCTGAGGAGCGTGGGAGAGCAGCCCCTGGAGATCCAGGTTATCAGTTGCCAGGATACAGCAGCATCTTTGGTATGTCATGAGGCAAATATGTTCTGCAGACTGGGAATGTGGGAGTTTTTTTTATACTTGCCTTGTCTTCAGTCCCTGATTAACGTTGACTTTCACGTAGTCAGATATCCCACTCTGCCAGGGAATATTTAAAGCCTTCAGGGAAGCGTTCAGTTTTAAACAATCTGTTAAAATCATCGTGCCTTGACAAGCCAAAGCAGTCTGTGTGCATAGGAATGGTTGGGTGGTGGGGTTTTTTGTAGTGGAGCTACTCTAGATTAATTGCATTACAAATTTCAAGGCACAGTTTATTTCCTCTAACTTGTGCCAGAGGATGAAAGTATTACCCTGTTCAGCATTGGAAAAGCCACAAGGAAACAATAAGGGATGAAATAGTATGTCCAAGACCACATGTTTATTTTCTGTGCACTGTCAACATAAAGGCTCTGTGAGTTGTGTATTAGATCATGGATTAATGTGGGTATTTTTTGTTTGGGAGATCTTAACTGCCTAGCCAGTCGCTAAACTGCTGTGGAAGCTTTAGACTGAGGGATGGTCATCACAAGATTTAAAAATGTTAAGCTCTAAATAACTTAGTTGATGTGTGAAAGAACCTGTAGTTCAGCTAAATCCACTGCTCCATGTTCCTGACATTCCCTGGCAAACCCAGGCACTGAAGCAGTGTTGCCTTAGGAGCCCTCAAGGTGCCCTTACTGCTGTTGGGCTTGCTTATTTTGTTTAAGAAGCTGGTTTTCCTCATTGAAAATAAGGAATTACACACCTGCCATTCCAAGCTGCAGCTGGAAACAAAAGGCTGGAATATTACCAGATTGCTCCAGGGCACAGCTAAGATAAGACACAGAAGGCTGTGCCTTTCAGGTATCCCAAAAGAATATCCTACAGCAGCTCTTGCTGTCATAGTTGGGATCACCATGGAACCTGTCCAGAGACAGCAAAATATTCCCTTCAGATCTGTGCAAGAGTCACAAACTTCAGCTTTGTAGGGAGGCCAGTGTACATATTATATAGTCACCCTAAATGCCTAACAACCCATGGTAAGATTCCCAAGTTCCTGTCTGCTGTGCAGAGGGTACCCTTGGGTCTCCATGTGCCAAACCCATGGGCACACAATGCCACGAGCCTGGCAAGCTGGCTGCCCTGCAGAGCTGCCTGCACACTGACCTTTTGTGCTGGGGAATTCTGACCCACTTTGGGTGGCTGCCTCTCACAATGCTCCCCTTCTTCCTGCAGCACAGCAAGAGCGCCACGTACTCCGTGGGAATGCAGAAGACGTACTCGTTAATCTGCTTAGCCATGGATGAGGAGAAAATGGATCAGACCAAGAAAGCCCCGCTGAAACTCCCCTTTCTAAGCTGGGGAACGAAAAACAGACAGAAAGCTGCGAGCACCCTCTGCCTGCCTTCGGCTGTGGCGGGGAGTTCTCAGACCAAGAAGAAGCTTTTACCCTTCACACTTCTGAACACGGACAGCTCATTGTACTGAATCTTCTGGAAGGATCTGTCAACGTGACGCTTTTGTTTAAAATGTATATAAAAATCAGTTTTATCTCGATAAAAATCAATTTTATCTTTATGTATGTGTGTATAGACTCAGACAAATACCGTGGGACTTCATCTGCCTGTGCGTGGAGACACTTGTGAAGGTCAGAGCCTGGCAAAGACTGTAAAACCGAAGTATTTGAAGGGCAGAATGAAGTGGTTTGGGAGGTATGCAATAACAAGATGTAGAGGATAGAATTGCTTACATGAGGACTGAATTCCTTTGGAATTTCAAAATACAGTTATCGTGACTAATTTTTTATGACTATGCTAGATGGGAGTTATTTATTACAAACCTGATGCTGCATGCAAAACAATAGGGGACACATTAAAGGATGATTTTGCTCTGAAAGTTTAGAGTCACTTAACACTAAAGAATTATCTTAAACCACAAATGAGAGAGAATTATGTTATTCAGAGAAACTAACCTTGTGCCAAGGCGTGGTGTCACAGCATTCTGGTTTTTATGCAGACACTCGGTACTAGGTGTGTTCTGCTGAATAGGTAATTTAATTCTGGAAGAGAATTAGAAGGCTTAAAATTTAAAATGTCTTTGAACTCCAAAATACTTGTACTCTGCTCTTTTTCTAAGATACATTTGAAATGCCTGCTGATGCAATTGTTAAAAACAGGCTTTATTCCCAATGACATTATTTAACCTACTTACCTTGAGACTTGTATCTTATTAGTCTTGATAAAATGGATTAGCTGTGAAACAAATCTCAAAATGGACATATTATAGTATAATAATCAAGAGTATGTAAGTTGCAGTGACGGAGAGTGCCTGTGTAAGTGGCAGAATATTTATTTACTGTCGCATCAAATCCTTCTGCCCTTGGTAAAATTCATGAGCAGCTATACATATTATAGTAAGGAGGGAGACAAAAAATAACTGGTGAGCATTTCCTTGAGATTCTTTTATTTCCTAAATTAACTGAAAATTGCTAACACTGTAGTGTTAGTTAACATTGCCATCTACAGAGTAGATATATGCTGTTTGATACTCAAAACTTAAATGAGGGAAGAGTTTGCATCTTAGTGTAAACTTGGAAGTTGTCACTTGTTTTTAGTTTCTTATGTAGTAGGTGTAAATATCTTGATGACATTTATTTAAGAATAAAAATCAGATGCTGTCACTTAATAGTAGCTTTTTGATTCTGCTACAGCTTGGATGATACTGCATAATTTACAGGGTTTTGCTATTTACTGGTGCTGTGCCTGTTGTATGTTTCTGAGGTGTTGCTTACAAATATATAAGAATCTTTCTTAAAAGTTTTATGTATTGCATAATATATGAACTTAAGAGTTTAACACCGGCTTCCTTGCAAAGGGTATAAATATATTTTAGAGTTTCCCTGTAAAGGTTACATAAAAAACTTAGTAGTTACTCTTCACCTGTATTTGTAGTTGTGCTGCTTTACACACCCAACCACCCGTGGTCAGATACTGATATTCCATACAGAGGAGATGTTACCGAAATTGGTCTCCACGTAACAAAGTCTTTAGCAAAGCCACATGAATGCCCCTTCCAGCTCTTCATTTCTCTCAACCCACTATTCCAGTCCTCTTGCAGATAATTTTCCCTCTCAGCTACATCATTAACTGCCTTACCCTTCCTATCTTTAGTCCTTGAGGAAAGGTTGGGGTGAGGGTCTTTGTAAAATAAAACACCCCTCAATTCAAGTCAAAACTTTCTGTCAGCTAACTAAAGACCCATCCGCCCACAGCAACCTTAACTTGCATGGAAATGAGTGTGTGCCTTATGTTCTTGATCAGACCACTGGAATACTTGTAACAATTAGCCAGCGCCCTCCAGCTGTTGCCAGCCATGATTATAAAAATACATGATTATTAAACCCAAAATATTATTATTCCCAAGAAAAAAACCAAAACATACAAAAAGTCTTTATTCGCAAAATAGCGCGTCAGGAACAGAGAAAGGAATGAATTTGCTGTGCTGCCGTGTGTCCAACCACTCGCTCCAGCTCGCTGATGGATGCGTTACAAAGCCGGTGGATGCTGCCGAAGTGCTGCAGGAGAAGCAGAGCTTTCGTTTTGCCCACGCCCGGGATGTGCTGCGTTGTCTGGAGCAGCGCTGGCTCCGCCAGCTGAGGTCGCTGCTTGCGCAGGAAGGGGTTAGAGCTCTGATCCCGGCTCTGCTCCCGCACCTGCAGCCAAACACAGCCGTGAGCCGAGCGAGCAGCAGCTCCGCTTCCAGCCCTCAGCGCCGCTTCTGTCACGGCAAAGCAGCTCAGGGCAGTCACCAGGACGCTTTAGAAACGAGCTCCCTGCTTATCTGTGTGCCCTTATTTTGATGCACTTCACAAAGTCTCACTAGAGAACGGTTTCTTCACAGCAACCATAAATGAAAACAGTGATTTTTGTCCCCTTTTTGGTGCAAAGAAAGGCTAAACAATCTAAGAACGGTTTCCTCAGCCTTAGAGAAAACAAAATCTCCAGTTGGCTTTGACAGAGAACCAAAGTGAGGTTTGCCTAATGTTATCCAGTGGCCCCTCAGCGCAAGATCACATGAAAAGAATCCAGGATCCAGCCCTCTTCCCTCTGAGCTTTACTCCCATATCACTGTTGTAGATTTACTCCTTACATTCAGTGTTGTGCTCCTTTAAGATCCCAGGTATTCTTCCTGAAATGAGTGAGGATCGAGAGCTTTCCCACATCTCCCATATTTTTATATTTGCCCAGTGACACAGACACTCACCAGCTGAACAATGAGCTGAGCTGCCTCTCCTTGATTTGCCACAGGAAGCAACACCATTCCAAGTTCGAGTATAACAAGTTTTTGTACTGCTAAGAAGTACTGACCACTTATTTGGGTTTTCTCTACAATTACAAGTCCCCTGAGATTGCTGGCCTGTATTGAAAGGGTAAAAAGAAGAAAAGGCTTTGTTAATGACAAGCTGATGCAACATAACGGGCTGAAATTCCTTCAAGTAGGAGCTGTCTGAGGCAAATCAGAGAGAACAGAAGTTGTAAAACATTCCTGAGGTTTAATGCAGCACCACCACACAGCTTCAGAATTACTCAGTTGTCAGGTGGAAACGATCTTAAAAGTTTAGCTCCACTAGAATGTAAAAGTAACACAAGGAGAATGTTTTCAGAAGCACAGAATAAACAAATATCAATTGAAACCTTTTTATTTAGCACTTACATTTCTAAACCTCACCACTCTTCGTTTGTATTCATCCCCTGCAACCAAATCTGCTTCAGAAATATATAAAATGCAAGTTCTGTTGGAAAGATGAAAGTCCACCAGTCCCAAGCCATCTTCAAAGATGAGTCTGACTTTCCCTTAAGGTGTGCAGTTGTAAGAAAAAATATAGTGGTTAAAAATATACAATTACTGATACATATAACAATTACTATTACAATTATTTACTATATATATGCTATAAATATATGTTAATATATAATATATAAACAAAATATGTATATATTATAGAAATACTATATTAATATAGAGTATATTATAACAATTATATATATATAACAATTATATAACAAAATAACTATTATTATAACAATTATAACAACTTCTGCACAGCACAACCTTCCTAATGTGTCAATAATCCTCGTGACTTCACAGCGAACTTTATATTCTGTAAAAGCCTTTCTTCTCCTTAAGTAAAACTGAGACAAGCAATCCAAAGCACTGTGATGTCCTGTGTAATGCCAATTAATAGCACCACAGGTCTGTAAGTGCTGTAGCTGCTCAGTAAACTCTGAGCTTGAACAGAAATGCCACATGCTTTCCTGGAAGGATCATCCTGATTTAGCTTGCTGTGCCAAGAGATGACAGCTCAGGTTCAGTATCCATGTAAATTCAAGGGAGTCCAGTGCAGATGAATATCCACAAAGCCCCACAGCAGATTCTGCTGCTTCTCTCCAGTGCTCTGCAGCCATGAGAACACGACAGAGCTGATCACACAGGTATGTGACAGGATCCTTCAGCCTGCTAAAACCTGTACCACAAATCTGGGAGCAGACAGGCAGAGAGTAAAGCATATTCCAGCCATTCTTAACACTGCTGGGTGATAGAGGGGCAATGCTTTGCCTGAATTGTTTGTCCTCTTCCAATTTGTTTGTGCTTACCTTGTAGCTTTTGGGCTATCTCTGACCCTCTCCACTTCTCATTTCCAATCACATGCCCAAAAGGGACAACGACAGATCCTGCTGCCACAGTGGAGTTTGCTTTTGTTGTCATCAGGCTTGCCTTCAAATCTTTACTCCAGCAGCATTTGCACTCTTAGAAAGAAATGTGGAAAGGACAGTAACATATTTTACGAATACCTGTTCCAAACTTATACATTTTAACCATAAACTTAAGATACAGTATTCTCGAAGAGACACTTATCTCCTTCCCCAAGACTCTTTAGAGTTATGGTTAGCATATCAAAACCAGTCAGCAGCTCTGATCACTGGAACACAGGCTGCTGACTTGCAAATTCCACTTCCAGCTTTACCACTAAGTCTGAAAAATGTCTGAATTAAAACACAGGGATGGTGGAAAACCCCACATTGCCTCTCCCATGCCTTCATCCATCCTCCTGGGAGAAAGTCTGCTGGAATTGCAAAGCCGACTCCAGAGGCACCTCCAGCCACAGTTGGTGGGAATCTCCAGACACATTATTAGAAGGGAGTTGCTAGAAGGGATTATTGTCAGGTTTGCCAGCTTTATGTACTGTTCTGACTTCAGGGGCAACTGGGAGTCTGGGAGTCCAAGGCATGATTTGAGCTGCATTCCAACCAGGCTGGAAAAGACCTCTGAGATCATCAACTCCACCCTGTGACCCCACCCTGTCACCCAGCCCACGGCACTGATGCCACATCCAGCCTGTTCCTAAACACCCCCTGGGACGGTGACTCCACCCCCTCCCTGGGCAGCCTCTTCCAATGTCTAATCACTTTCTCTTTAAAGAACTTCTTCCTGATGTTCAGCCTAAGCCTCCCCTGGGGCAGTTTAAAGCTGTGCCCTCTTGTCCTACTGCTGGTTCCCCGGAGCAGAGCCCGACCCCCGGCTCCCCTGTCAGGGAGTCGCAGAGAGTGATGAGGTCCCTCCCGAGCCTCCTTTTCTCCAGATTGAGCCCCCCCAGCTCCCTCAGCCTCTCCTCACAGCACTTGTGCTCCAGGCCCTTGCCCAGCCTCATTGCCCTTCTCCGGACCTGCTCCAGCCCCTCACCGTCCTTCCCAAACTGAGGGGCCCAGAACTGGACACAGCACTCGAGGCGCGGCCTCCACAGGCAGAATCACTTCCCCGGTCACAGACCCGCACGCAGACACCGAGGATGAGCCCGACCCTCCCCGCGGTCCGGCGCTCACCTGCCCGTCCCGGCCCTGCCCTGGGGCTCCCTCAGGGCTCCCTCCCCGCCCCTCAGCCCCCAGCCGGGCCGCTCGCCCCTGGCAACGGGCTGAGCAAGGCGCGCTGCGATTGGCGGCGCGCGGGCCAGCAGCGAATCCGCCGCGCCGTTGTTGCCGGGCGGGTTGCGGGGCTGAAGCGTCCGGGGCGGTGCCGGGTCCGTCTGTCCCGTCCTGTCGTGTCCCGATGTCGTTCCTGTTCAGGAGAGGCCGCCCTGGCCCCTTCGTGAGTATCGCTCGGGGCATCGCCGTGAGCGGGGGCAGCAGCGCAGAGCGGGGCCGTGCGCGGGCGGGACCCCCGGGGAAGGCGGGAGGTGCTGGGGAGCGCTGAGCGGTTTGACCGCGGTGAAAATCGCGGGGGAAAGAAACCCCAGGCGAAGACAGGAAGGTGTCCGGAGGCTGGTGTGCTCCTCTCCGTCAGTCCCAGTCCTGCCTGGCTTCTCCAGTGTCTGGCCCCCGGGCTGGCGGTGCCGCTCCCTCTCTCTCACGGCGATCCCCGAGGCGCACATTCACTGCTCTGAAGTGAACTGACAACAAGTTACAGGGTTAATTTTCTGTTAAAAGAACCCAGCAGACTCTCCTGTGGTTGGTTACGTTAACACATCAGCGGTTGCAGTCGGAGCAGTGTTACAGTAGCTGCTCATGGTTGGCAGATCGCGCAGCTGTGCGGGTTGCAGCAAACACCAGGATCTACCTCTTCTTAGAGGAAAACACTGTTCTAACTGCAACCACTGGTGTGTTACCATTACAAACTACAGGAAAGCGTGCTGGCGTCTTATTAACAGTAAATTAACGTAATGAAATTAACGTGGTGAAATTAATGTAATGAGAGCTCGGGGCAGCCGAAGGTTGCAGGGTTGCCAGCTATGTTATCTCCCAATGCACTTGAGCTGATTGAACTCTTGTTACTAGAATTAAAGTATCGATCCTCTGTTGTTGCCGTGCTTTTTACTCTTAGCTCAGCTGTGTTCCCTGGTGATCACAGTGAGATATCTCCAGTCAGCAGCCTTTAGCAAACAAACCGGTGTGCCCCAGACAGACCTGCAGAGTTCAGGAGCGGTGCATTTGCAAGATAAGGCTGAGTAAAAATGCAGTCTTTGTAGTGCACCATTTAGTTATTTGATGTGCCTCCCCCAGTTAGAGAAGTAAATTAAAGAATAATTTGGGAAGAAAAAGAAATCCCTGTAGAAGAAATAGCAGGAACTTGGCCTGTTTTACTCCATCCAACGGTGATGGGTTTTATTATGGCCTCATCTATTCTGATGCCTAGAGACAGGACAAGAGGCACTGAGCACCAATTCAAACACAGACAAGTCAACTTAAACATGATAAATAAAATATTGTGAGGTAGTTCAACACTGGACCAGGTTGGAGATGCACAAGATGTGAGCTCCCTTCCAAACTCAACTATTACATGATTCCATTCTTTGTGGGGAACTCTGGTTCCACTTTTTTTCTGAGCTGGTATTTAGTATTATTCCTTTTTAAAAAAAGTTACTGTGTTTGCTGCTAAAACATTCATTAGGTCTTTTCTAATTCAGATTGAACCTTTGACTGCAAGACTCTCAGTGACAGGGTCATTTGTCCATCTCATACTGCTGTGATTGAGGGTTGCTTCTGACTGACAGACTCTAGAAGAAAAGGACTAATATTGTCACTGAAGAAGCATTCCAATATTTTGAAAGAAGTTATTTTCTAGTCCAGTTTTTCTTGTGTATATGCAGGAACAAATGATTATGTTAAAATTCTGCTTTTGCAGACTGTGCCGTAGTGGGTAGAAAACCTCCATTCGTGGTTCTCACGTAAATTCCATTTCTAACCTCCATTAGCAGCTGTTCATACATGTTAAAAAGTTAAATTGGAACCATTTCAAGTCTTCAGTTTGCATTAATTGCATGTCATTGCTCTTCCTCTTTATATATTATTTTGCATTGTTGGTTTTTGTGCCTGTTCAGTTCTTTTTTTTATTTTTTTTATTTTTTTTTTTTTTTTTGTGATCCTGAAAAGTCACTTTGTCAACTAATTTTATTTTAAATTGTTTAGAAACACATAGCTCATGGCCTGGTCCCTGCTGCCACCATAGCTCCTAAACCTGCAGTTCCCCGCACCCCTCCCCCTCGTAGTCCAAACCCTTCTCCAGAAAGGCCCAGGTATGTTCTGATGTTTTTGGTGGTTTTTTTTTTCCCTTCCTCGAGTATGCTATAACCTACTAGAAATGCATGATTAAAAGAATCACATGTCCTTTCTGCAGTATTTGTATAAAGCTTTTCACAAAACCAATATATTTTTAAGTGGGTCTCTTCCTCTCTTTTTGAATTTTTCTTTCACTCCTAAGTGTGCTAAATATTTAGGATAATAATCATTAAGAATATGGAACTCCTGTGAGTCAGTTAAAGACAAATGGACTGTTTACGGTTAGGGTAGTTTTTAATTTGGCTGCCACAGTAGATTCTAGAGCTGCAGCAGCACTAGTGCTGTGAGTCAGGAAATTTTAGCTCACTAGAAAACCATAAACTAAATGTTATGGTTTGGCTTCTTTTAAGTCCCATGACAGGGGCTTAAAAAACTGTCATAATCCATTTGATTGGATGTAGCAATAAAGGCAAGTCACATAGAGAAAAACACAAATCTGTTTTTCTTCTAAGTTGTAGCTTATTACAGTTTTTAGTCTATATTTTCTCCATGTTTAGTTCAGGTTTGTTTGTTTTCCATGGTCTTTCTAGTGTCTCTAACATTCCTTCTCAATCCTCGTTCATTTCTTCTTCCTTTTTGACCTCCAGTTGTTTTCTTTCCATTTAGAGTCCTCACCATTTCTCTGCTTTAACCTTAGTTCCTACTAGTTTTTCCTCTTCATCATGTCCTTTTCCATACTCCACAGTGTCCCACAAATAGGCACTTCTGTTTACTTGTCCTGGTTTGCAGTTTGCCAACATTTATTAACAACTTCAGAGTCACCAGTAGAAGGATCAGAGTGGTTAATAGAGACAAAGTAGCAGGACTTGGAACACCTTTTCGACTAAAGTGAATGCTAAATGCTGTCAATGGTTGATGTGAATTTTAGGAAAGTAACTCAGAATATTCCATGATTTTCATGCATGTGATTTGGGAAAACCAGGAGGTATTGTGCTTTGCTCTTGGAAAGCTACATGACAATAGCTTGCCCCATTTTGTGCTTTCCTGTGGGAGTTCATAGTTCATAACCAGTCCTGTGGGCATTCAGTGGCCTTTAATGCTCGTTAACTGTGAACACTTTGCTTTGCTTAAGTAGTGAAGACATTTTGCAAAGGAAAATATATCAGCTGTGGAGGGCACAAGAGCACAGTAGCATTGCTTCATCGTTTTTGTCTGTTCTCCTGCAGGTCTGCCCTGGCAGCAGCAATCCTTGCCACAGCACTCACCGGGCGCACTGTGGCTATTCCTCAGCCTCGGCAGAGATCCCTCTCCGAAAGTGATTCCACCTCTGTGGAGCAGGAAGGCTTTGAACCCTATGCAACAGTGACCCAGCTCAGAACAGGGTAGTGTACACTTCTGCTTTGATAGCTCAGGTTGGACACAGAACCTGCAGTGATACAGTTTTACCAAGGAGTTACAGCAAACTCCTGCTTTCTTCTCACCGCGTCATAAATTGGGTCTGAAGTGTCCACGATCCTCGTGCCATGTCTTGTGATGTCATGCATAGAGTCTTCAGAGAGGCAGACTTGGATTGTACAGCAGTCAGAAGTAAAATCACAAATTATTTCTACCAAATGTGATTAACTGAGTTAAATGACCCATGACAGATGTTACAGTTGCATGACAGATGTAACCCTGTGGTAGAATTAGCAACCTTCTGTGTCTAATGTGGCATTTTCTTTAAGATAGAGAGGATCAGGTAGTTCCAGTGTTAACTGTCTGTTTTAGAGCACACACCTAGGCTAGATTCCTAGTTTAGATGTTTGTCAGCTGTTTGGACTTGTATACTTTGTGAGAACTGATGGTTCTACTTTACTATGTTGTTTTTTTTGAAGAATAAGCAGCAGAGTTGAAAGTGGCATTAAATTGCTTTTTACCTGCAGGTCCACCTGGAAACTTGATGGTTGTGACAGATCTCCTGTACAGTCCCTGGAAACATCAGGCCACTATGGTGAAGATGAGGACATGGATACCTTTGTCTCAGATGCTGATAAAGAGGCAGAGTCCAGCTGTCAGAGTAATGAGAAGAGAGAAGAAAGCACAGATGCTGTTTATGCTGTTCCCTGCAAAAATAAAAAGGTAGGATTTTAAAATGTATTAATGTTTTAATATGTTAATGCACATGTTAAATATTTCTGATGCTTTATGTTCTCTTCTTATTCTTCAGACATTTATTCAGTATTTATTTCACATGCTTCTTTTTGTGATTCCTTTACTCTTACATGAGTAAGCTTTGTTGGTTCTCACAAATTCCCTGTCTCTGATTATAGGAACCTTTTCTTACTAGGAAAACACTGCTATTGTATATAATTATAATGCACAATTTAGCCTTGTAAAATGCCCAATAATTTATGTTGCCACGGTACTTACAGAGTAGATGATTTGTTCAAAGCATTTGACTCTTAAATGGTGAAAGCTTAGTTGATGTTTCAGTGTTGGGAATCAAATGAAATAAATGTTTCTGTCTTATAATTTTGGATTGTCTTAACCAGCAATGCACAGCTCAGTACTCCTAAGGCACATATAAAGTTGAGTCCAAAATGATACAAAAATTTAACAAACAGGAAGAGGTACCTGAGTAGGAAAGAGGCAATAAAAAGCCTCTTCAATAAAAACCCAACACTAGGGAAGTAGAACCATCAATCTTTTACATTTTGGACTTGTGGTATGTATTGTAAGAAACCAAAAAAACACCCCTAGGTGTAAAGACAGTTGTAGACTAAGGATTCAGAGAGATGTCAATGCACAAGGGCTATTTTAACAATGATACCATGATTTAAATAGGCTTGTTTTGTTTTTTTTCCGTAGGAAGAGTTTCTACCATCTCCCACCTCTAACACTGATGAGAAAGAGGTTCCTTCCCACGAAACTGAGTCTCAGATGGTGGTGGATAAATCAAGTTTGGAAATAGAAGGTAAATAAAGCTTACTTTTACTTCAAAATGCCATATACCATAGGGAAAGTAATTTTTGAATAAAATAAATGTAACACTATGCAATAATGGTATATCCCTTTTTTACAAGAGTGATTAAAAATGCTATTAACAATAATTTTAAGTAGTTACAGAACATTAAAAAATGCATAAAGAGGGAAGATTGGTCTGTATTCACTGTGGAGTGACTTCCTAAGTATCCACTATTAGCCAGTGTAAAAAGAGGAGGGGGGAAAGGTTTTGTGAATTCCGTCTTGTCTAGTACAGTCATTCTCTACTATAAATCCAGTGAATCAATCCAATTTATGCCCTGGAAATTTGGAGTCTTACTGTGCTCAAAAACTGGGAAAAATTAGGAACTACAGAAACTACCAATGTTAAAAAAAAAAAAAAAAAAGCTGGAGATAGAGGAAAACATTTTTGATCAGTCATTTTCCTTATATGGAAAAAATGCCATGACTGAAAACCATCAGGAAAAACTTTTGGGCTTTTTAATAATCAAATGACATGATAGTAGTTGGTATTTATCCTTTCTACAGAAGTTATATCATCATTGCTGTCTTTTAAGGTCTGGGCCTTAAAACTGTACATCAGGTCACAGAGGATATTTCTAGAGAATAGAGCCTGATCTTCAGGCTCAAGTTGTCACCCTAAGCTCTGAATTGTTAAACTTCACAAATAACTCTTTTGCAATAAGTAATTTCATTAGATCAGGGACATTTGGGTTGTAACTGGACCTACCATTAAACTGTTTTCTGGTAGCAATGCAATATTGTGGAGAAAAAATTATAATAACACAGCAGAACCAATCTACCTGTGCCACAGTTCTGTTGCATAATTGTTTTGTCTGTTCTTTTAAAATCAGGAAACTGGGAAATGAGAATTAGTTCCAGAGCTGGAAAATGCAGTTTTTACAGTGGATGGCAGTACTCTGTAGCTGTTGGATAGAAAAGAGAAAGCAGAACTGAGTCTGTTTTGAAAAAAAATGTTGTCTTTCTAAGTTTTATTCATGTTGGATCCCAGTGGTTTTTTTTCAGTATTGTTTCAGTGGAGTAATTTGAAAAGTTTTGTAGAGAATAATATCCAGAAAGAATGGGTTGCTTTGCTAAAAGCATTTGGGAAATGAAGGCATTGAACTGAAAAGAACAGGATATTAGAACATCATTTCTTCCCCACTTTCACCTACACAGTGTGAGGGAAAGGAAGGTCTCACATCAGTGTCCTGACACGCCTTGAAAGGGGTAGTGGAAACTTAGTGAGCTCATTTATTTGTGGTGTGGGGAGGACTTCCTTACATGTATTTGCAGTGTATCATATGTGTGCATGCTTATTTACAAATAATTACAAATAATTTTTTTGTACTTACAAATAGATTTTGTTTCTGTTGACTGAAAGGGCTGTTTTTCTTTAGCAGAAGACCAACATCTTGGCCTGAACTTAAAGGTAAGATTTAGATAAAGGTTGATTTATGATGTGTTTTGGAAAACAGGGCGTCATAAAGAGCTGTTAGTTTGCAGTCACTTAAAAGAAAATTAATTTGTTGCCACTAGGGAATCATGTTCACCTCAAGTAAATATATTGGAGTTCTTTCCTAGTGGAAGAACCTTCCAGAAATGTGAAAATAAATACTTTTTTTTTTTTTTTACAGCAAAGCAAGAACAAAATTCTTCAACTTTGAAGAACATTTTCCATTTTAATTTATTTGCTGATGCCTAGTTAGGGATTGACAGTTTAAGTTCATATCATAAATGATTAGTCTAAAGCTTATTTTAGTGGGAACAATATCCATCCTGTTTGGTCAAGAGCCTTTAAGTTTATGGGACTTTTATCCCAGCCATAAAAAAAAAATATTTTGAGAAGTGTACATTTTTGATGACTAAAAATAATAGTGACAGTTTCAAATGCCTACAAGTGACTGAAGGCAGGGATAAGTGACAAAATGATGGCAAGATTAGTGAGAAGTTGTGTATTATCAGCAGTGAATCCAGCCTTAAATTCTGTTGGTATAAAAGAAACACCTACTGAAGTTTTGTTTCTGAAGTTCTCCAACAGTGATGCTGTTCAGAGAACTTCAGGCAGGGTGACTGTTAAAGCAAACTGTCTCATTTTTTATTTCTCTGCTAGGAGGAAAAACCATTAGCTGACAATCTGATACGTGAAAAACCTCCACCATCCCCAGGTACTTTGGATGTTTCTATGCATTTACCACACATCTTCACTTTAAAAATAGGCATTTTTATATAAACCCGCATTTTTCTGCCTGTATTTATGTGTGTGTGTGTGAAAGTACTTTCCTGTGCTGAGTTACATTGATGGTTATGTGCTGTTAGGTTATACTGGCAAGGCCAAAATTCATTTTAATGGGTCAGCTGTTCATCCCACACAGAGGGAAAGGAAAAACCTGGAATTGTGAGCCACTGTTACTGATGCAACAACATATCCACAGTTTGGCAGATAATCTAAAATTTTACTTTTGTAAGGATTGTCAAGTAACTTCAGTAACAGATCATTGAAACTGTTCAGTGGGAAGGAAGGTAAAGCTTTCATTGTACAGGTGATTAAAATAAGGAGGGATCAGGAAGACTGACTGGTCCATGCAGTGAACATTTTTGTCTCATCTCTTTAGCCCCTGATGCTTGAGAGATCTGCTGCCACTTTCTTCCCAATTAAAGAGGGAATGTTTTCAGTGTCTGAGAGAAAAGGTGGGATCTTGCAGCCACTCCACAGCTCTCTCCAAACTTACTTTTCTAATTCTTTCTGGTCTTATCTTTTGGGAGCCACGAGCTGATTTATATCTTATAAAGTACCACTCATACATAATGCTGATATTATTAAAAATGGGTTGTAATTTGCTGAAACTCATGTTCTAGTCTGAAAATAACTGACATCCCTTGGGCTGTGGCGTTGCAGATGTGTCTGTTCGGGCAAGGCAAGCACGGGAAAATGTGACTAAAGACAAGTTCAGAGAGCTGAAACAAGAAAACTGGGCCCTGAGCAAGGCAAACCAGGCTGTGCTGCAGCAGCTGCAGGGAACAAAGCAGCAAATGGAAGAACAGCAGTTACAGCTGAAGAAACTAGAACAAGAAAACAGAAGACTTAAAGAACAAGAAAACAGAAGACTTAAAGAAGCTGCAGAGAACTCACCCAGAGAAGGTGGGAGAAACCCAAGAGCCATTCTGTAGCTATCTGGTTTGATTTTTCTGATTTCTTACAACCTGTTCCTCTAGTAGTAGCTTTGAAGTCATTGATTTAGGCAAGTATCTGTGGAGAAGTAGTTTCCAAACAGTATTTTCTACATCTGTAGAAATTTTGTCAAGGAATACTTATGTAACCATGAAAAAAAATTACTTGGTGGTTGGTTTTTTTATTAGTCATTTTTCATGGGATTATTCCATAACAGTATTTTGAGAGAAGTTCTCTTATTATTCTAGCTTATTGAAATTATTTTTTTTCATTACAATTAACAAATTGCTGTGAACATTTCTTGAGTTTTGATCGAACTTTCTTGTTGAATATTTGTTTTAACAGAGGAGGCAACAGAACTACTTTCTCTCAGGCAACAAGCACAAGAGCTGGTAGATGAAAATGATGCTTTGAAAATGGTGGTCCATCGTTTAAATGTAGAATTAAGCCGCTATCAAACTAAATTCAGGTCACTGTCCCAAGAAGAGGTGAGAGTCTTGGTTATAAAGGCAGTTTCTACTGAAATGTCCCATTGTTATTTCATCTTTGAGGTTTTTATTTTCTCCAAGTTTGTTACGAAGTCTACAAATTTCACAGGCTTTTCCTGAAATTTGAAATAAGCTTTTATCATTAAGTCTGACTTGAAGAAGTCAGGATTATTCTCCTGTATTAGTAAGATACTGAACTTCCAGTTTTGTTGACTCTGAGTGTGTATTAAACATACAACACCTGTAATTAGAAACATCAGCTTTGTTGTGACTGCAGTTGGTAGTTGTTGGTGCTTCAAAAAGCAGGAAATAATGTCGGTATCTTTTCAAAAATCTGCTCTAGCAGGTAAAGCTGAAAAGCTTACCCATGAAAGGCCCACCACCACCATGGCTGGTAAGTCAAATAATATTTTCCCTTCTCTGTTTATTCCTTTCTAAGTAACGATGTAGAATTTCTTTACTGGAAACGAGATATTCAGGATATTATTTACTTCCTCTGCTGAACTATCACAAACTAATAGAATATAATAAATATTCTTTATAAATACAAGTAGAATATACTTTGGTTTTGTTGCATGAAAAGATGAAGGGCAGAACTTTGCAGAATGTGCAGTAAACTACAGAGTGCACAGTCACAGAGCTGGAACTGCTGACAGGTGCTGTTGGCCTGAGAGTCAGAAGTACCTTCTTCACTTACCATTGTCTAGCATGTAGTTTGCTTCAAGGCCTTCCAAGGTCTACTGCTTAATTGTTAATCTCCTTAACTGTTCATCTCCTGAATTGTTAATCTCCTGCTGTTATTATTTTTAAGATGATACTAAAAGAAAATAGAACATTTCAGTGATTCTCATGGTAGGAATGGGCATGGCTCCACTAGGCAAATAATCTGTGAGATTGAATGCATTTGTAGTAGGTGAAAGAGTTTCTCCTTGAAATGCTGATCAGATCTTACATTTTCCTTCCTAATCATTTCTCAGAACTGTATTGTACAGCAAAATGCTCCTGCCCTGTCTCTCTAGCCATAATAGCCAGTAACCACATATTATTTAGTTTTAAAAATGCAGGTTTGAGAATGTAAAAATTCCTTTCCCACTTGCTAATGAATCTGGGGTAATTTTTTTACAGATAATATTCACTGTAGTGTTTCAGTGTTGGTTTGTATTCATTTGCATCCACACTCTGCTGTTAGAGCTGCTTTTTACTGAAGTGTGCCAACATAGTGTCCAGCTGCCCTTTTGTCTGCAAGTCACAGATGAAAACCCTTCACAGCTTTTAAAAGTAGTAATTTATAGCAGGAGAAGTAAAAAATACAGATGAAATTATTGCTTGTAATTAATTTGTATGTATTGATTTTTTCTTAATTTTCTTTTAAGTTGGATATGAAGTATTTGTCACCTCTTCTCTTGGCTTATGAAGACAGAATAAGAGAAAAGGAAGATTTTATTCTTGAACATGAGGCAAGTTGCCATTTAAAATATCCAATAAAGTGGAAATAAATGGCTGAAATTTTTTTGAAGGGATTTCTCAATGCTGTTTTCTGCCTAAAATTTGAAGTGACTTTGTTTTACTTTTCCATGCATGCTTATTGTGTCTCATCCTTCTTGACTTGCTGATTTTTGTCAGCCTGTTCAGCTTTAGAAGTGGCCGCTCCACTGAGAGGTGTAAGATGGGCTCTGAAGAACAGAGTAAATTATAAACACAGTGATAGAAAGAATTTACCACTGTCATCCCTAATGGGGATTTAGTGCTCTGGAGAGCTGCTCTTCCATCTGCTTGTGGGTATGAAAGCAGAACTTTCCTAGACTTTAAAAATAAATTTATTTCCTCCAAAAAATTAAACCATACAATGGGCAGAAAACACCAAGGATTTTATTACTGTAAATTCCCTGTCTTGTACCTACCATATTCAAATCCATGTCAGTCCTTCTGAAAATATATAGTGTCATCTAGTAATTTCCAGAATTCGGTTTTTTAAATGCATATTTTAAGGATCTACAACTTGCAAAGATGTGGCACAAATCAAATATCAGCATTCTCTTTAATCAGATATTACTAGATTGATGAAACAAATTAGAAATCAAATATGCTCATCTGAATTAGAGATGATTGAACAGTGAGATAATATGCTATTAAGTTAGGGATTAGAAACATGTAGGTTTATAAAGATTTTTGTTGATGTAAAAATTACATTACAAACAAAAAAATTACATCAACCAAAATACTTACCTCTAAAGAACGTTATGTGAAATCCTTTGTCTTGCAGGAGGATATGAAGAATTTTAAAGCACGAGTTGAAGAGTTGGTGAAGGAGAACGAAGACCTGCATGAGCGATTAAATAAAAACAACTTTATTACCTCTACAGAATGGCAAGTTATATTACTGGAAATTAATTTAAAAGTTACTAATTATTTTGCTTATTGCATGCAAACTTTGAAGATACTGTGGATATTTTTTGTGTCCTTGGCTGCTTATACACTGTCCACAAATTTCTAAACACACTTTGACTAATACTCTCAACTTTTTAAGCTCTTGCTAGAACAGCAAATAGTTTCTTAAGTGTTTTTTGACATCAGAAGGGCTGGTATTGTTTTTCTAAAAAGCTGAATTAATACAAGTTAAAAAGCAGAGGGTTGAGTTCTCTGCTCAGGAGAGTTCATTTTAAACGCTCATCTTCCTCACAGGCTCATAAGGCTCACTGGCCCTGTTTTTCTAGGGATCAAAGCCAAGTAAATCCAAGTGCTATCCAAGATTTTATCACGTTTTGAAAACAAATCTGCTTCAGTTACTGTTTACAATGCTCTCTCCAAGATGACCTCCTGAGGTTGGAAGTCCCTTCAAACCTTTTCCATTCTCAGATGCTGCACTCCTAATCACACATACTGCTTTTTCCTGCTTTCTATAGGGTTTTTTTGCTTAGTTACTCAAAAGTTTTAAACATTATTTAAAATAAATTACTTTTTGATGGTTGTGAGTTCATGTCACCAATAAGATTACCTTAGGTCCTGATATTGCTTCCAATGAGAGTTTCCACTTTGTCTTTAAAAAGGTGCAAATAAGATTTTTTACACTGTTGAATGTCAGTTGGGGACATAAGCTAACATTTGAATTATGTTCTATTTACAAGCTGGTTATCATTGCAGGCAGCAGCTGCAAACTCAGGCCAAGCTGGTCTTGGAAGAAAATGGATTGTTGATGGAACAGCTCAAAATCCAGCAAGCTAAAGCAAAAGACACTCACAGACAGCACATTCAAGAAGGTAAAGTGCTTGAGTTGCCAGCCATTTGACTACACTACTGCAGATTTGGGGGTTTTTGTGGGTTTTTTTTGTTTGTTTTCTGTTGTTGTCATTTTTGGGAGGTCTTGGTTTTGTTTGGTTGGAGGTTTCTTGCAACTTTCTATGTGCCTAAAAGTCATTGCTGAATGTGGGTGACATTAATATGAGATCAAGCTGTGGATGTGAACTGAGACTGAGAAGAATGTCATTATCACCTATTGCCACTGAACAACATTTTGACTTCTGAAAAAGTGACAAGAGTTGTTAAAAATTACTTTTTGTAATTTAAGAGCACTTTAAACTGAATCAGAATTTTTCAGAGTAAAATGATGTTTCAATGATCCTATAGCTCTGAAAAGAAGCAGTCTTGAAGCTTCGGCACTTTACCAAAACAAGTTGCTTGAAACAGCAAAAAATAAAATCCAAACAAAATGCAAACTGACAAATCCACTGTTGCTATGAACAACTAGGTATTAACACAGTAATGGTTTAGTTGCAGTTTCACTGGGTGATTGAATTAGTTCTCTTATACCCAGTTGATTTTGGTTTTTTCCCTCCCAAAAGCCTCAAAGTTGACCAAACAGATCGTAATCTTAGAAGGGAAGAAACAGAGCCAGGAAGAAGAGATAGCAGAGTACCAGAAGCAATTGGAAGCTTTATGTTCTACCTGTGAAGAGCTGAAAGCCCAAGTGGAGAGCAGAATAGCAGCAGAGGAGCACGTGGCTTTGGTGAATGATTTAAACAGGTATGGCTTTCCCTGTGGTGCTTGGAGAAACAATTCTGCAAAGCATGGACGTGAACAGAGCTGCACTCTGGAGGTAGGAGGCCACTGGAAACTGCTGCTGGTAATCCAGGAAGGCAACTACCAAAGTACAAAGAAAGGGAAAGGAGTATTTAAAAAATACTGTCTTGGTTTTTAGGGACATTTCCAATTTATGGAAGGACATCCCAGATCTAGAAACATGGGCAGGAGTGTTCCTACCATAGAGAATGTCCTGCTAACTGTACTATTTTAAACAGTAGAAGAGGAGGCATTAAAATTATCATTTTTTTCAAATCTATTTATTTCTATAAATCCTATAAATTAAATATTCTCGTTCTTTTGTTCTCCTCTTTGGGAACATGTCAAAAGGATCCTGAAACTCTAAACTGGGTGTTCTGAGTTTCTCCAGTCTTTACAATGCAGAAACACCAGGAAACAGCACAGCTCCAAAGTGCTGCTGTGCACTGCCTGCACAGTGATGTTTTCCTGAAGACATCCTGTAAATTTGTTTGCTTCCAAGCCTTTGGATAGTGCTGTTTTGTGTCTTAGGAATTTCTCAGACCTTGTATTTTGGCATTGCTGATAATGGCTTTGGAGAAAAAAAAAAAAGAAAAAAAAAAGGAATACATTTGGGCTCCGTATTTTTATAATTTAAGTAAATGATTTGAGAAAGTAATACCTGTCTGATGTCAGCACTGAACACGAAGCATTCTCAGTGTGTCTTTCACACTTTTAACAGGGTAATCTTAGTGTAATTTAGGTTTTCAGTGAGTTAGGGCTGTACCTGAGCCCTGTCCCTGCTGTTGGGTTTTGCAGGCGGTTACAGGAGGAGCAGCAGAAGAGGCGCAGTGAGGTGGAAGGGCTGAAGGGAAGGGTGGCATCACTGCAAGCTGACAACAAGAAACTGCTCCTGGAGAAGAAGAGCTGCGTGGCTGACTACAAGGACCTGCAAACTGAGATGGAAATGACACAGAAGACAAACAGGTCACACACCAGTTTCATTTTCTTGTTTAGAAATACTTGTCTTTCTAAAAATAACAGCAGAAATTGTCTGGCTTCCCATAATGTTTTCTAAACATACTTTTGTCACATCCAAAGGCCTGGCTGTCAAGATTTGCTGACCTTTGTATGTTTTCATGCTCACTTTTCAGTGGCTACAGGCACATTAAGAATATTTCTTTCCTGTAGTAGTTAGCAGTATAAGTTAGCTATAGCAATGAATCATTTGTGTACTGAAAATCAGGCCTTGTGCACTATTTGCAAACCTCCTCATGCACCCAGATTGCTCAGAGATGGGCTCACAGTACTTTAAAAAATAAAACCAATATTACTGTTATATTTCTTGAGAAATATGAGCTTGTAGCCATTGCACAAACTGTTCTTTTGAATCGTTGTTCTGTTATTCAGACAGCTTATTGTAAAGAAAAACAGCCCCAAAAGTGGGACATGATAACTTTTGGCACTGAAAATATTGGGAGCCAGTGCATTTTTAGCAGTATGTTTGATTGTTTGAGAGTTGTACATGTTGATTTGCCCCTGATGCAAGTTTTTAATTCTGTTATTAATTCCCAATCTGTTCATTTTGTAGGCGACTAAAGAAGAAAATAAGTGTTTTACAAGTGCGGCTGGAGGAAGTGACAGAAAAAGAAGTTGTAGGCCATTATTACCTAACAAACCTTATTGGTCTGGTGGAGAAGATAGCTCAGGAACGTGATCACCTTGTCTCTTTGGTAATTACCTTGAAATTATTAATATTGCTTAATTATCATTTCACACAATGTAGTATCATTCCCCCACCTCAAAGTTCAGTATGTCAGTTCAGCTACAGCTGCTAACTCTTGTCTTACCCTTTTTTAATTCATTCATTGAATTAAATCATTGAAATTCATTTTATGCACATTTCATCCAGAAGAACAGGGACAGCAGAATGGTACAGCACTAAAAAAATTAGCCTATATTCTTACTTACTGAGGGTTAAAAAAAATCTTGAGTCAGCAGCTGTCAAAATTATTCTTGTATTGCACTGTATGATTCAGCTGCCTTACAGTAAATCAAACTGTCACCTACTGAGCATGAAGTTCAGACTCCAGCAGGCCCAGGTAATTGGGACTTCTGGGAAGGGAGATGTGTCTGCAGTGATATGGGTAGTTCAAGGTGCTCAGACATTGCTGAGTCCAAAAGCTGCTTCATTCTCATTTGAATGCTTTCAGTGGATTTAACAACTGAAGCCTCTTAGAGTTTTAAAATGATTTCACTGTTCGTACCACCTGCATTTTTGTTTTACATCTGGGAATGTAGTGCCTATGAAACAGTGAAAAATGGGATCCCTACAAACATTTCTCTGTAGAAAAATACACAGAATAGTTAAAGTTTACAGTATTAGTATCCTTTCAGAATAATACTGTTTCACAGTATTCACAGTCAGTTGACAAATTATTAATCAGCCATTAAAAAAGAATAATATATAAAAAATAAAAGGACTCGTTTTCCGCATTGGTTCTTCAGACTATGGGATTTCAAAAATGGAATTGCTGTGTCTTGCTCAGTGTCAGTGTTTTGTCTGCCCTAACATGATGGTTCCATTTAGTGATGTATCCACTGTGTGGTTGCAGGCCAGATGTTTGGAAAATGAGAAGCAAGGTGTTCTCAACAAAATGATAGAAGGCAGTCTACGCTTAGGAAAACTAGAAGAGAAAGTTAAGGTAAGCAGTGTTGCTAAGCTCGATATTTATTGTGTTTTGGGTTTTCTGGGGAGAAAAAAGAAATCCTTCATGAAATATCTAAATGCATGAAACACTACCCTAAAAGAGTTATCTAATTGAGCTAATACAGCCCTAAAATGATTTTAGCATTTTTCACCCTCATTCATGTCTATCTTCCCTACAAAGACAGTGGCTCATATTCTTGTTAAATACAGATTTTATGCAATTTTATTGATCTGTGTCTAAGGGATAGAGAAGAGGTTTGCATAAAATTAAGAACATTCACTTGTAAATTTTAAGTGCAAAACCAGATTTTAAAAAATCCTTAACCCATCAACTATTAATGGAAATCAGAAAAAAAGTCTGTAAATAAAGTTCTTAAAGTCAGCTGTTTCAATTAACAAAAGCAAGACTAATCTACTTGCAAAACCTTTTCTTTCTTCATTTTTGTCAGTAAAGCAGAGAGCTTAAACAGTCACACAACACCTACAAATGTCATGTTCTCTTTGGTTATTGTATTAAGTGAACTTTGCTAAAAGCTGGTATAATTTATTTGCTGTTTCAGGAAATCACATATTGGGTAACTGCCCTGTATCTTGAATTTCAGGATAAACCTCTTCTGAGCTATTTAGGTGTAATCTGTCTCCAGTGATAATACTACTTAAGACACATTCATTTTCCTGCCAGGGTGACACAGCCATTGATAATGTGAGTGTTAGCTATTTCTTATCTCACCAAAGGTTATTGTGCCTTGGCTTTCAGCCACCTGCAGCTATTTCCTCCAGATACAAGATAAGAAATACAAATTATATCATATGGACTGGAGCATGGAGTCCTCAGGGTGTGAGGAGAGAAAAAGCTTCCAGCCTACAGCTCTGAGTTACTTCCAAGTGCCTGCAGTGTGAATCTCCTTCTTAGACACAACTAGACTTTTTTAGACACAACTAGACTTTTTTTCTGCTTTTTAGACACAACCAGGTTTACTCACATTTCCCTTTTGCTGAGTTTGTTGCCTTGTGTCGCATCAGGAAGCAGCTCATCCAAAACCTACAGCTCAGATGCATTTTGTGTGTCTCAAAAGATTTTTCTGGGGCTTCTTTTTCCGTCCCAGTAAATATTATTTGAGGGGAGGAAAGAAGGAGGGCCTTGTGGGACAGCCCTTCTGCACCAGACACACATCACACACCCATGGACAGAGGGTGTTCCAAAAGCTGCCTCTTCAGTTCCCTTTGGATCCCTTCCCTCTGATCTCAGGTCATCTGTGCCTTGCACGTAAAAGTAGGTCTGGTCTTCTGGTCCAGAGTTCTTCCTTTTCATTGAGGCTTTTGAAGAAAGGAAATTAATAAAATCCTGTATTTTTTTTCTTTTTCATTGCAAAGGCTCGAATTAAATCAAGGTCTGGCAGATCCGTTATGAAAGGCAAAATCACTGTGAAAATCTTTAGAGCTAAACAACAGGTTATTGCTAAAATAAACCCTAAACCTGTATATATATATTTGTATACATATACATTCGTATATATAATATTTGTATACACAGCTTTATTATGTATTTTAAACTGTGTATGCTTAAATTATGTAGTGAATTAAAAGTGATTCTCTTTATAAATACCCATTTTTAGTTTGGGATTTAGCAATTAATGCAAACAAACTGTATAGAGTCATTCACTGTGCAAAACCTTTTGTAGGTTATCAGTACAACCACAGGAAATTTAGAGAGTAGTAGTAGAGCAGTAAGTTGAATACAAAATAAATAATTTTTACACAGGAACTATGTTAAGGAAACGCACGGCCTTCCTTTGACTTCATCTTTGTGCAGCTCTGTCTCCTGGAGGCAAAAGGGACAGTGAACACAGAAATATCTATCTTAGAGTACAAAATTGTTACTGGTGAGGAGAAAGCAACAAAGGTTTGTTCTTACCACTTCCTGCTGATGGAGGAACTGTGTGAGTCAGAACTGCCTGTCCCTGTTGCACAGTGTGTCCCATACTCCTGGAAATCAGTGCTTAGGCCAGCATGTTTGAGGGTGACTGTTCCTGTCACCAGTGCTCCTTCACTGTCTCCTATCAACACTAATCTGGACTTTGGGAGAAAGGTGCTTTGGGTCTGAAACCAGGAGGCACTGGGTTTATTTAATTCCTGCTGCACACGAGGCTTTTCAGTCCAGAGTATTCCTTCTCCTTTGTTAGACTGGAGATTTTTCCATTGTGGGGCCCTTGGGAATTCATGGAGCAGTGCTGGTTTTGTAATACATAAGAAAATGTTTCCATCATTTTGTCAGTCCTAAAGATGGACTACTTTTTTTCCAGATTTTTAAATTATCAGGCAGGATAACATGTAGGAATAAGGATGCTTATTTACTGCAGCACATAATACAACAGCTGAACTTTTCCCCAGACTACTAACATCGATTTTGTTGGCTTTTGAATTTAAAAGTTTCTACATTTTACTCACATCCTCTTCACTGAGACAGAGTAGAGGTTTCAAGAAACTGAAAACAAACCCTTAACAGACCAGATATCGTGTGTTTGTGTGGAAATTTTCTTTTTCTATTAACAAACACCATAGTACTGTCTGACAAAACTTTCACTAAATCTTCTGAGTATATAGGCTGTCACTTTTCATCTGTCACAGTCCAGTTGTACTGGGAAGGTTATAGGTACAAGCAGTGTCATCATCTACTACTAACAAGGAATTTCCTCCCCTTGCTTCCATAAATGATTTTTTACACAGCCCTGAATATAATTGTCAATGAACTTAACTAAAGTATTTGTAGGTGACATTGGAGACAGCTGGCAATGTTCTGTAGCACACAAAAAAACTTCATCAGTGTTCCCATTACAGGGCTATTCTATGAGAATAATATTACTTTTTGTAGACAATTCCTTCAGATGGCCCTTTGCTCTCTTTCGGAACAGACAATACCAATTTTACTGGTGAAGGATTGGAGAAAAACAACACATATTGACAGGAAATAGCTTTGTTGCCTCAACCAACAATCAGATCGTTACACGTACCATAGCCAGCAGCCTGTGCTTGTAGAAATGATGTTTTGTGGGCTCTGCAGTCAGAACTGTCTGCTAGTTTGTAGTTCAGTACTGGAGGTGTAACAGAGCTGTGGTGTCCAGGAGTACACCTTCCAAAAATGGATTAGAAGAGTCTCAATTATACCCTTTTCAGTACCAGCAGCTGCATCCATGACCATTCCTCATCTTGCTTACTCTACACTTGATGCCATGACCTTGGACCTTTCCAGCTCTAGAGGAAAACACATCCAGCAACATGTTATCATCCTCTTCCTGTGGTGTTATCTCCACCAGTCAGTTTACTGTTACCTGCCTCACTTCCCAGATCATTAATAGCTTATGTGGAACAACTCAAAGGGAAGGCTCTGTGAGTGCCAGCAGCTGCTTGTGCCAGTGTGCCCAGACCTGCCCAGGCTGCATTTTATGTAGATATTATTATAATCCACCCACAGGAGCAGATCACAACTGGGTATCCCTCTGGTTTCAGGCCAGAAGATGATGGTGCACTTTTGCCCTTTGTGCCCCACAGATTTTACAACTGTTCTACACATGGCTCCACTTGGCAAAGGAGGAGCAGAGCCCCGAGAGGCAGCTGTGGGAGATGAGGAGCCAGATGGCTTGAACCATCTCAGGCTGGGTACAGCTTAAAAAATACAACACTCACCTTAAAACACTCCCTGCAGCTGGGAGGTCAATGACCGGGCACGAAAAATGGGTTTCACCAACACTACCGGCTGCTTTATCAGCCTTTGCTGTGATAAGAAATTCTCTGAAGTTATTAATTATGGGCACCTGCCCATAAGTAATGCTCTCTGAAATGCTCTCTGCATTTCAGGTCCCTGTTGGACCTGGGTAAAGCTGGAGAATGTAATGGCAGAGGGGGAAGTTGTGCTGTTTCCCTGTGCTCTGCCCTTCCCCTGCTGCTCAGAAGGGACTTGTTTGGCATTTCAGTGCAAGCACCTAACTCTGCATTTTGGAGACTTCTCTGGGAATCCAAATAGTTGAAGGATGTGACTGGTTAACTTGCAGGCTTCTAATTCTTTTCTTAGAACTGGCAGGGAAAAAGCTAGGAACCCCCCCTCCTGTGTAAGTCACCCTTAAATATTGAATTACTAATGCTCTAGGTAAATATTATTATTTATTATTATCCTATGAGCTCTAAAAAAATAAACTCCATGATGACACATTTTACAAAAGCTAAGAGGGAAACAGTTTGTGGAAGGGATTATATAGCCTTATATACAGCATATACCTAAAAATGCCCCCCCTTTTTTTTTTTATTCCTCCAAAAGGCAGATTCAGTCTCTCTGCTCTGATTCAGATGAAGATAAAACCTTAGTGAGTAGCACCTTAGGTAAAACTTTGTATTACCAAGACATAAATAGCAGTATTTTCAAAGCCTCACTATTAAATAGTTTACAGTTTTATTAAAGGAGGTGCTTCCATCCCCAAACTCTGTCCGATCATCTGTAAGAAATGTCACATTCTGCAGACAAAATAACAGTTTTAGCATTCTGCTTGTAATCATGAGGAAAAAAGCTAATACTGGATTTGGTTTCTGTCAAGAGCAGCAGCATCCAGACAATTGTAACAACACCCAAGCCATAGATTTCAGTTCCTCGTGTGCTCATGCAATTTAATGGGGATGTAATTTCAGAAAGCAAAATAATTCTGTATAAAAATGATTTCTTACTTTTGAGGTGGGACCAATAAATTTGGTTATTAATTAAGCAAAAAATCCCTCGTGCCTCACTGAACAGAAGCACTATTCTGTGAAGAAGCAAGCCAGTTTAAAAACACAAAGCTATTCTTTTCCTTCCTCATAGTTCAATTAATATTGAACAACCAACAAAACGTAAACACTTTTTCTTGGTATGTACTGCTAAATATGACTGCTGGACAAGTGGTAAGCAACAGGTGCTGTAATGTGTAGCTTTGCATCTTGGGAAATAACCCCTCTTTTTTTGCAGCTATTTCTGTTCACTCATAAGACAAACGTATAGCATGGTATTCACTGTACACACTGGTGTTATATACAGAACAAAATGAAGTTTAGTACATTCAAACTACCAAATAGGTTAAAAAATCCATAATGCAGCCCACCTGACATATTTAAGCAGGGCAGAACTGATGTATAATTAAACTGCAAATCAGCGTCTCCAGCTGTTTCTGTTGCTGGCAGTGACTTGTCCTTATTTCTCCTGTAATCCCATTTTTCCTATAATCTTTACCCCTTACAGGTGTATAAAAAGAAAGCAGCTGGGAAGCTTGGGGATATCAGTCTGAGGATGAGTGAGCAGGAGAAGGAATTTGCTGGGAAGGCTGCTCAGTATGAGCAGGAGATGAAGCACCTGCAGCGTCTGCTGCAAGACAAGCAGGACACCCTGGCTGAAGTGCTGGAGCAGCAGAGGTGGGTGAGGCACAGGCAGGAACTGCTGTTCTCAAGAATTCTTCTTAAGAAGAGTATTAATCTGAGCCTAATCTTTGATGATTTGAGGGGGTTCTATAAGTCAAGATGTATGTTAGTTTGTTTAATAGCATCTTCTGCTAAAGGCTGAACACTTGCCCATCCACACTCCTCCCCAGCTGTCAGAACAGTAGGAAATGAAAGGAATCTCGTGGTTACACTTAAGGTTTGTTTCCTTTTGAATCTTCTTACTGAGAAATGCTCAGTCATCATTATCACCTACCTTCCCTTCAATAAGCTACGCTGCACCTTGGAGATAAACAAAGCTGATGATGCAGTCCTTGGGTAGAAAAACAGGGTCATAAACATTTCCAGTCATATTTCACAGGCCACTTACCATTAGGAGTTTTCTAGGTCAGAGTTTATTTCCTAAGTCTTCTGCAGAGAAACAGTCCTTGGAGATAGTTGGAGCTGCTGTGCTTTGGATGGAAAATGCAGGTGTGAAAGTGCCTTAGACTGTCCTTGGGACAGGGTGAACAGCAGAGAAGCTGTGCAGCTGTGCACAGGCTGGGGAGCTGCCTTACCTGTGGGGTGACATATCATGTTGGAACCATGATGAAAATTGTTGATCTTTGTTATAAAGAATATTTAAATAAACTCTTACAGGAGAGATGAAAATTAATTCTTGAGCTGGCAGCCCAAGTATAAAATTAAGGCATAATTAATTTAGTTCAGCGAGGGCAGAAAGCTCTGTCTTTTGTAAAGAGGAATCTGCTTTCAGAACCTGCTTCTGTTAACTTTTCCATCCTCAAACATCAATCAGTACAGCACTGGCATTTTGTTTACTCTCAACAAGATACAGAGCCTTACATTTTGGCTAGGTTGGAGTTGAGTGGAAGTTTTTATTTTTACTTATTTATGTTCAGATACATCACCATCTCTAAAGGCATCAGTTTCCTTGCTACTCAAGTAATTTAAACCCTGTGGACACTTTCAAAACTAGTGTCTTTGAACTAATTTTTCTTCTACAATCACTTGAACTGAAAATGAACGCCTTATATTAGTCCCTCTCATCCCATCTCAAGGGGAAATACACTTTGTGAGAGCAAAGTCATCTACAGTTTTGGTGGTTTAAAACTGAGAGATTGCTTCCCCACAGCTTTTTAGCAACTTAGCAGAAATGAAAAGTTCCAGCTCATTAATTGTGGCCTCTCACATCCTTGGGCAAATTCTTGGGTTACTTTTAGCACCTGTACTGCTTTTAACTGCTACCTTTTGCTTTAATTCCATTTTTAATTGTCACTGATCTCCTCCACTACCAAAAAATCATTCCAAGCAATAAATGCAAAAATAATCTAAAGCCCTTCTCTACAAGGCTTCTTTTTTATTTCTTCCATGTGTATATCAAGCCAGAAGGTGAAACACAAAGTGGGCAGGTACTTCGTCTGGGCCACTTTTTACCACTTCATTCTCAGGGTGATCAATCACAAAGGGCTCTCAACACATTTATGTTGCGCATTGATTTGTTTCTCATTTTTAGAGCCTGGCATTGGGGAGAATTTGTGTAGCAGGGTAGCTCTGCCCAGTGCTTCAGGCAGTGCCCTGAAGGGACTGTATTAGTCTGTATAGCATTCAAATTTGTCTGCTCATTTTCCGTGCAACAGCTTCCCTTTCCACCTCAATTATCTTGATATCCTTATTTTTTTGTACTTTGAGACATAGTGGAAGTGAGTTAGAGGAAACCCAAGAGCTTAACCTTGACCTAACATAACCTGCTAAAAAGCCTGTGCTGGAATACACTGTATTATGAAATCATATTGGCTTCCATGCTTAAAAAAATAACCTTTTCCTTAAGAAAGACACTAAATAATTTGTTCATTTATGCTTGGGAATCAGAGAAATGAGCCTGTGAGGTTGCAATGCCTTAAGGACTGTCCTTCCCTGGCTTTATCTCCCCTCCTGGTTTACACCACCTTTGTTTGGCTTCCACAAAGAAGCATTAGCTGAGACTTGATCCAACTTGTTACATGGATCCAAGTGTTTCTTTTCTGGTCACATCCTCTCTAGCATTACATTTAATGGGCTTTTTCAAAAGCAAAACGGACATGAATTTTAATCAGGTAATTTCAAGCACTTAAATACAGGCCATTTTCTAGTTTGCTTATCCACATCCTGTAATTCTGTACTGCTGAAACACTGTTAAAATTAGGATTTCTCTTTTTTTTTTTCCCCCCCTAGGAAAACGGAAGGGGATCTTGAAATCATTTGGGAATCCACAACCAAAGAGAACAGGAGAATGAGAGAACTCTTACATAATTCCCTGAGGAAGAACACCGTGTGGAATGCTGTCACAGCTCGGGAGCCACACTTTGATGAAAGCTCTCAGAAGGACCTCGTTTACAGACATGATTTTAGCTATTGTGATGTGAAAACTTCATCCCCTACTAAAAATGAATTTCAAGATGAATCTCAGTGAGAAGAATCAGCATCTCATCCTGAAAGGAGAACTCAGTGCCTGAATTTGACTTTTTCAGCGACACAAGATATGATGGAACATTCCCCCCCTTCAAAATGATTGGATTTTTAAAAATCCAATGTCATAACAATGACAACAGCATATTCTCCAGCTGGACCATCAGTAGGGGAAATCTAACCTGAAATATTACTTTGATATTTGAAGAAAAGGCTATTCCTTGTTAAGACAAAATGTGATCCAGCTTTAAGTTAACGTGAAAAGACAAGTAACCAGTTAACAGGGTAAAATTGGACTGGAGAGCAGCCAAGACTGAAGCATCCTCCTGACACCTGGTGGGGCCTGAATCCACAGCTGTCCACTCCCCACATTTACAGGAGCCTGAATCCACAGCTGTCCACTCCCCTCATTTACAGGAGCCCAGGTGTTGGGAAGCTGCTGCTGGAGTTTTGCCAGGGGGATGAGTTGCCAGCACAGGGTGCAGTTTTCCAGATTGTCTTGTTCATTCCACTTTAAAAGCACTTTTTTTCTATTCTCTGCAGCAGTGTCAGCCTTTAGATTATTGATGCCTATTTGTCTAAGCTTACATAATTGTTGATTTTTCACAATATTGCACAGCAACTTTGTAGTACTGTCTATTAATATGTACATCCAAAATAAAGCCATTTCATACAACTTGCTGGATCAGCTTTTTGGTTTTGCTTCATTTTCATAACAAAACCTAAATGGGACGAGGAAACTGTAGCAGTACAAAACACCTATAACTCTCATAGTTGTGTAATATTAGAAATAATGAAGAATTTCATTGGCTTTGATCAGAGTTAAGGAAAAGAGCAGAGAACCAAGTTAAATAGTGAAAGGAACAGGTAGTGTTTGTGTCCAGAAAGGTTCCTGAGGTGTTTTCCCTCAGGGTAAGGCCATGACTCAGCAGAACAGCGTTATTCAGGTCAGGGTAGGGAGAGCAGCTCCTCTCCTATCACACCTCGATGTTCAGGGAGGGGTGGATGTCGGGCTTTCGGAGCCAGGCTCCTCTGACAGGAATAAAACAAGTGCAACAACCTCACCAGCTCATCGAGAGAGAACTTCAGCACGCAGAGTCATTCAGACACTGTCAGAACCATTATCTCACTGCACCACTATCTTAAGGTCTACACCCAGAAAACTTAACAAGAACTCCACCTTCAAATCCTTTCATTCCCCTGGCTTTCTCAACTTGATTATTTTAGGACTCTGTGCCTCAAAATAACATTCAGAAACTATTTTTAAGCACAGCCTTAAATAACTTTGTTAATATGAGAAGTGGTCAGGGGAATGGTCTGTTGCTAAACCAGTTCTGTCTCCTCTCTTCCTTGAATTTTATAAAAACTGATTTGAAATGGCAGGTGTGAAATACCTCTGCAGACAAGTCAGACACAGGCAATACCCCCCCCTGGTTTCCACACAAGCTCCAGTCTGCAGGTTTGGGACCCGAAAGAGCATCCAACACAGCATTGTTTTGAAGACAGATTTTGAAAATGAAGCCTCTCGTGTTGTATTTTTTAATATAAACATCTCCGAGTATGAAAATACAACCTCAGAACTGCACATGGAAATTATTTACATATTCTCATCTGGTTTTAATTGCCCTTTTGAATTTTTCTGAAGGGTTTGTAAAAATAAGCAGCTTCATGGGGAAAACCTGTCATATTAGTAATTCCTCAGAACTAGAAGCAAGACTTTCAAAACACTTTCAAGTGTGAACGTGTAGATAGGTACTGAAGAGAACTCTGCCTTAAACCCCCAGAACTTAATGAGATTTTAAAATCATGGCTTTGCCTTGTTTCATAGATAATACACTAAAGAAATTGTGACTGCCTTATTCTACTGCAAAAACTCTACCCGTGCCAGATGATCATTTTCTGTTACCCACCTCACATCAGCAACTTGCTGTCTGCCCTTGACTACAGATGACAGATCATCCTAATTCCCATATATTCCACCTGCCTTCCAGTTACAGCATCTTCCAGTCTGTAAATTAAGCCCATGAAGTAATTCCAGCTTCTTTTCACAATATAAAAACATGCAGTGTTCTTCCATCTCTACCAAGAAACTGAGAAAGCAGTTCAGGATTTCTGGATTTCACAATAAAGTTTCAGTGCTGAATTTACAGAGCGTATTCCTTCCGTGATAACTGACCATAATTTTCCCTAGAAAAACATTTGGATTAAATGATTAAATTATGTGATTATATATCGAAAAAATAAGCATTGCTGCCACCTTTCCAAAATCAAAACCACAGGAGAGTCTGGAGTAAAGCTCAGCACTTCCCATGCATTTGCCAACTACTGCTAAAATATTTCAGCATTACTTCTTACTCCACTGGCAGAGCAGAGCATCTCATTTGCTGTGTAAATACGAGGGGGAATCAGACACTCAGCAGTCAAATTAAGGTGTGTTCCAGTGTCCTGTGAACAGGCAGGGAATTGGAGCATCCTTACCTTATTTTCCAGTTTCTAGAAAACTTCCCCCTGCCCATTAACAAGTCATTTAAACCCAACTGTTTTCTTTCTTCCTACCTCTTTATTTTCAAGCCAGAAAGGTACTGGTATTTCCAGGCCAGAAAATTGTTCAGCAGCTCAAAAGAGAGACCCTCCTAAGACTTCTTTACCATGAGAAATTCATCCTGGCACTTCACATCAGGAGTTTTAAAAGCTTTTCTCCAGGGACTACAAATTTAATGTAAATCAGTATGGTAAAAATTCCACAGTGTCAACCTGCTTGAATCTAGAAAATCAGATACACTTTGAAGGGTTTTTTTACCTCTAAAAGTATGATTTCTCAGCGAGTGAGCTCTCCAGATTTTTTTTAGCCCTGAATGTTTTTTTTTTCTCCTGTACTAAATTTATTACAACCTTCCTGTATAAGCACGTGTTCAGATATAAAACAGATATTTATTTTGGCAAATAAAATTGTTTTATACCTCAAATGTCTGGATTTAGTTAAAATAAAATGAGGCTTCAAAAGTAGCACAGAAATCACAACCTCCACGGAGTGCTTGAGTATTCACTGCTTCCTTCCTCAGCTGGAGGTGGGCACAGGACAGATGCAGATGCTCTTCCAAAACCAGTTTTATCTGGAAATTCCTCCTTAGTGAAAGGCCAGTGGAACGCAACCTGAGTTTTGGACTCAAAAACGAGATCAAAGCCAGGCCTAGTTCCTCAAAGAGAAAAATGTGAGAGCTGGTTGTGCATTCGAGGAATCACTGACTCTGATAAGGCTTTGAGACGCTGGTAAAAACTGCAATCTTTGAAGAAAACCAGTGTGACATCCTCAAGCTAATTTTCTTCAGAGGCCATTAAAATTCCTTCAGAACATCCTTAAGAAGAGACTACTTGATTTTTTTGTGACCTTTTGGATAGAAAACTATACCCAGCCTTTAGAAATTTATCAAGAGCCTTTGAAGAGCTGTGCTTAAAAAAATACATGAGAGAAGCAAAAACCTGCCTTTAGACCAAAGACTGTGCAGGTCTAGGATAAAACCTTTAGCAAACCTGAAAATCTTTTCAAAAACCTTATTTGTCACAGAGACAAAGCCAAATAGACTGTAACCAAGAACTAAGTAGGGAAAAAATAGTGGTATTTAGATCCCATCTACTCTATGGGCATTAGGAACTACAGTCATCTAATATTTTCTGTTGACTCCCACAAGATGCAAAGATCTTGCAATCCAGTGCCATCACCACAGCTGTGAAAGAAAAAGACTTTTCTTATACTCCACTTTCAGCATTCCTGCAATTACTCAGAAAAAAAATGCCTTTAAAGATGACAGGAGTGAGATCACATCTTAGGGCACATCTGTGATGGTGGGATTCAAAGAACAAATGCAAGGGAACAGGTGCTCTGATGAAGGGGCAAGGTTAGAATGGAAAGTATCCCCTCTGAGATACTGCTAAGCTACAATTAAAAGCTGCTGGATGGGATGATCCTCATTTCTTCAGTATTGGTCAAAGCAGAAGGTGCTTTGAAGCAATAAATACCAACCCTGACAAACATTAACCTTTATTATTAGTGACTATTGATAACAAAAGGTGTATTTATACACTGTGCCGTTGCCATTTCCTGAATTAAAGTTGAAAATTACTTTTTATGATTTAATTGGTAAATAGCATCTGAAAAGGTTCAAACTACAGTGTTTAAATAGGAGCAGCCCCCAGAGTGTTTGCCTCTGTAGTCCCTTGGAATTTGAACTTATCCCTTCATCTGTGTACCTGTTTGAGAGGGAAGGAGTCTTTTCCCACGGCTGTAAAATGCCATTTCTCTTGTCCCTGAAGAAAATAACATTGGAATCCTTGAAATCAGTGTTTATTTTTATCTTCAGTGGCTGAGGTAAAGAAGGATTGCTGGTGGAATTGCAGCTCCTTTAATAAGTTTACAGCATCCCCAAAAGATTAACCCCTAAACCAAAGCCAGACCATAAATGAAAATGCTTCCCTATTTTATAAGGAAACACAGACTAGTTGAGGTCAGGTCACTGCAGAGACTGCAGACACCTCTTGAACAGGTGGGAACTCTCCAGATGCACATTCCAGGCTGGCTCAAGGAGTCAGCTGCTTAGGCAAAACCTCAAACACCATATTGTCAACGTTGCCCCCACTGTACCTGAAGAAACCAAGTGGAGTAAAGATCTGATGCAGAAAGAAAAGACAACTGAAACATTTGCACAAAAAAAAAAAATATCAAAGATCATTACAGCAAATAAAAAAGGAATTCTAAGCAAAACACAGCATTGAAGATGATATACTCCATTATCTTCTAGTCAAAACTACATATGTGCTTTTTCCTCTTTTTGTTGGTCTGGAAATTCCAGGGTAGGGTTGATGTGATGCTTCATTTTGAGGTCAAAGTCAGCCCAATAATATGACCCGACTCCCTCTCCTTCTTTTTTTCATTTCACATTAACTATTTCAATAGTCTCTGTGTGGCATTTCAGGAATTATAAGAAGATTATAAATCTTAATTTCAAAATTATCAGCTGTAGAGAACA